AAACTAAATGATTGATTTATTCATTGTTGTGTTACAGCGAATGACAGTGAATTCAATTTTGCGTTGTTTGGTAATATAAACGCTAGGCATTGATTGAATTACAGATTGAGTAAGGATGTGGAACGTATACTTTGTGGATGTCAGCAAATACTCGAATAAGTCGCGTACGGTTCTGCCGATTTGGATCTAATTTTGTATTTAGAGAAGGTTTTGCTTTAATAGTATACTATTGGTTATCGCAGTAAAAACTTGTAATGTGGCTTTCCATTGATGAAAGAGTTATTTAAACTAGCCTATGTTACTCGCTAATAAAATAACTTTCCAATGGCAAAAGAATTTTAAAAATCGGTTTAGGCATGAAAGCTCAAAATCACTTTCACATTTATAATATAAGTAAGTATGGCAGTAAATAAGCCTCGAAGAAGCTTGGTCTGCCTAACAGATTGAGACAGTGTTACACTCTGACTGCCTACTAAGGCGCAAGTTCGAAATTCAGGAATCATGGCCTCATATCTGAGCAGGGGAACTCCATTTTTTTTACGTGTGGAAACCCCCTTGGGCCGTCACCCCACCGGGGTTTACGGCGGGGTGGTGTGTCGGAATCGGACCGACTATAAAAAACCACACGGTGTGCCACTCTGCGCCTGTAATATGAGGGATCCGGGAACTGCTGTTATTAAGACATCCGGACCCCTTTTAGCGCCTGCCCGCAACGGCGCGGGCACCTTCTTTGGGTACATTCTCCATTTAGGCGACGTCCGGCACACGCGGACATCGCGGCGGCACGAGGCGGTGGTAGGCGCGCCTCTGCCACCCGGTTCGACGGCGACGGATTGGGTCCAAGTGGAGGTTTCCCTCCCGAGCCCTCTCCGCCGCCTCCTTCTGCGAGGTGATCTCTTCGCAGAAGGATGCGACCGCAATGAAACATCTGTCACTACCGGCCATGGAGCGTATGACGGCCGGTAGTGAGAGATCCCCCCCGATGACTGCAATGAGGACCCAAGCCGAGCAAATCGCCAGCGTGAGCTGAGCCGAGTCCTCACTGCAATCGCAGTGGTGACATGCGAGACTCAATTCCCTCCTAGCGACCGAGTGCAGGTAATTCCCGAAGCAGCTGTGTCCGGAAAGGACCTGCGTCAGCCGGAAGGAAAGGGTCCCGTGCTGCCGCCCTGAACACTCGACGATGACCGGCTGAAGCGCCTCCACGGCGGCAAAGCCAGCACGTGGAGCCCCCAGCCGGGACGACCAACGAGCCATCGTGGCTCGACGAGCGGCCTCACGCCACTCGCGTATCTCTTCGGGCGGGGGCCTACTGCCGCTATCCCTATTATTATTATTATTATTATCCGCCCGGCACTCAGCCGTCCGCCGATATACTTCGGCGAGCACTTCCGCCTACCGGCCGGGGGAGTACCGGCCAATGCTCACGCCGCCTCCGTCGACACGGTGCGGTAACCGCGTATGGCTCTAATATCCTCAAAGGGCGCCAGAGCCGTGCGCTATTCTGGGCGGTCAGAGCCGCCGCCCACACCGGTGCACAAGCAGGGGCACCCCAGGACCAGCTTCTCAGTCTGTTCCAAATTTAAATTGGTAACTTTTTCTTTTATTCATTTTTCATTTTTAGGATTATTCATTTTTAGTTAATTTAGTCATTATTTGAACTATAAGATTCCTAAAAGGGAATTAATAAATCATAATCTATACTAATATTATAAAGCTGAAGAGTTTGTTTGTTTGTTTGTTTGAACGCGTTAATCTCAGGAACTACTGGTACGATTTGAAAAAATCTTTCAGTGTTAGATAGCCCATTTATCGAGGAAGGCTCACATCACATCATCACATCAACAGCCTTTAATAATCCACTGCTGGACATAGGCCTCTCCTTAGAAAGGAGGTTTTGGCCTACTATACCACGCTGGCCAGACGGGTTGGTATAGGGTTTGTGTCAAGTTTTCCTTCTTTTTGCAGTGCTGGTGTCCTGCGTTGTTTTGCTCCCTTAGTCGGCTCTTACGACACCCACGGGATGAATTGGGGTAGTGACATTCCGTATTCTTAATCCGTCACTACACGGACACTATAGGGAGGAAGGCTATAGGCTATATATCATCACGCTAAGACCAATAGGAGCGGAGCACCAATGAAGAATGTTTCAAAAACGGAGAAAATTTATTACTATTGAGAGACGCAGACGAAGTTGCGCGGGTCAGCTAGTAAATAATATTTCGGACATCTAACACACAACGCCATCTAGTTTCGAACTAAGCAGAGCTTGTACTATGAAAGCTAATCTGGACTGAAAGAATACTTTTTTACTTTTTTCTTGTAAATACATACATATAATACATAGAAAACACCCAAACTCCGAAACAAATATTTACTGATCATACAAACTTTTGGTCCGACCCGGGAATCGTACCCGAAACCTTAGCACAGCAGTCGTATTCGCTACCACTGCACCACCAAGGCACTCAAATATTATATTTCTTTTCCTTTTTTATTATTCCTAAAGTTTTATACTAACGCTACACTTCAAGCTATAGTAAAAGTTGTTTTTTATGGCATACGAGGCAAACAAGTGAACGGGTTACCCGTTGGTAAGTGACTAGCGCCACCTATCGACATATGCAAGTCAGCAAACACAAATGCGTTGACGCCTTTTGAGTAGGGATGGAATAAAGTCACAATCACATGTGAAAAATAACATGTTTTTTTTTTAAATCATATCATCACACATGTGACTAATTTGCAAAACCACAGCTACTTAATTATTATTACGCTAGCGCAAGACTCGCGAAAGGTCTAAATAAAAAAAAAGTTTGTAAAGAATTTAGACTGATTTCACTGCCATAAAAACATGTGAAATCGCTGTGACTGAAACCAATTATTTCATCAAATGATATAAAAGTTTCTAAATATGAGTCTCAATTTTGCGCTTCGGTCATCCCACTTACCCTATGAAAACAAAGAAATAATTTTTTAACACTGGTTTTCTTTGATTTCAATGTGGCAGTTAATGTGCCGAAGAGCTTGCTACATTATACTAATCTGTGTGCCGAAGCATAGCTCTCCGATCAAAAAAAAACTACTGTAAGTAGTTTTTACTGAATGCAGAAGTTTTGGTAGAAATTTTGGTAGGAGTTACGTTTTCAATTAATAGTTTACTCCTCTCAACATCGCTGTTTGCAAAATTATCTCAACATTAATATATGTCAACTACTACAATCAAAAAATACTTGATGGTGGTCAGAATACCTTGTCAGAATTGGAATTCTCATTTACCTATTAAAAGTGATGTTTGATTAATTACATATTGTCTTTGTCCTGATGCTCCCTTTTAACTCTTAGAAATTCTTTAATTGAAGTAGTTTATTTATTGATAACCCTGAATTCTTTCTGAGTAGAGTTAACGTGAGATAAGCAAAAAGAACTGGATTCATACATCTACCCATTATGTAGAATTTGTCCTTCACCTGTTGAAATGTTTCTTTTTTACAGAAAAATTATTTAAATATTTTTTTTAGTTTGATAGGCGGTTAGATTCTTCCTTTAAATCTTGCACGTATAATATTATTAACACAGTTAAATTTATTGATATTTTCTTAGTATCTTCTTTGTTCATTCGGGTCAATCTCATTACTTAAAAAAAAAAATTGTCAAGCTGGGTCTGCATCAAAGGAAAGTTCCCAAGATTTATGATGGCAGCACGTTTACAACAACAGGTTTACAATTTTAGCGGTAAATATCAAAGTAACGCCTATATTACCGATATTCATTGGTTAAATAGATACACTTGTCGAAAAAGCTTTTATACGTTCAGAGCGTGTAAACTAAACTAAACAGTTGAAAACTCACCTTTACTCTATGATAACAAAAATTACTTTAGGTTTTTTGCACATATTTTAGGATATCCGTAGCTAGACGCGCTTGAATTCTCCCTAAAGATGTTCGTGTGAAAAACACAGCATAGAGCTGTCAAAATGTTTGGCACGATTATTATTTAAATTATGGCAACACCAGTGTTGTCAACCTAGTGGATTTTCCAATAAAACTGGTGGTTTCGTCTGTCGTGTTGCTGGCGAATATTGCTTTTTGAAAGGAACTATGAAGATTGGAGAATGGCTGGTGCTCAGGAAGGAAAGAATTATTAATTTTAGGCAATGGGATGATATAGGCTTTTGTGCCAGAGGGGAAGGAGTCAGAGTCGAGAGAGAAGTCAATAATGTGGGTTATGACTTCGAGGACGCAGTCCAGGATAATAACTATCATCCAACGGCTAATATCATCACAACCCATTGCATAAGAACGGGTAGACATTTTCTGTCAAAAAATGGCAGCGGAGGAAATTCAAAGTTGACAATATTGGATCTGGTGGTCAAATTTCAAAGATGCCCAAGAGAATTTGAGATTAGAGAAATTATTCCAATACCGATGTTGAAAGACTATTTAGCAGTAAGAATGTAATAAAAAAGGAGCAGGGCAATATAATGAAGTTAAATATTGTATCAGCTATGTTAAGAATACGCTGTGGTTTGAAGTTTGAAGGAAAATGCTGCAACGAATGTAAATTCCAATAAACGTTAGTGTAAAGTTAGTGTGTGTAAAGTGACTGTTGTTATTGAAGATTTTTTAATGTTTCTGATCTTGACTTGGTGATTTACTATTTGTATGTTTATTTATTGATTGTTAGTATTAATTTTATAAAATAATACAGGAAACTTATTAATTATTTACTTATTGTTTTCTTTCGTAATAATTAAAAAATGTTTAGTGGAAATTAGAGTAGTGACATTTTTCGTTAGTGGTTTTCTGGATTTTTTTTGTTAAATCTGTTGGAGATTAAATTCATCTGTTGGCAACACTGACAGAGGGGTGAGTGAAGGGGTAAGAAAATAAAAACAAACATAGCCGAGTTGTGTTTTTGGGTATTTTCTATTAAACGGAGTCATTAAAAATAGTACCTCATAACTTTAAGATTGAATCAGAATTTATAAAAGGATATAATGTCAAATAAAATAATCAATTTATCTGACGATGACAGCAGTAGTGCCGACGACCTTCCAGGTACCATAAAAACAATTTCAAAATTATTATTGTTTGTCTGGAATCTTGTCTGGAATGATACGAAAGTCTCAAAGAAAACTTATTATGACAACAATAAGCAATCCTTTTCTTACATTTTACCATGTGAGCGAGAACGCCAAAAGCCCAATCCCACCTTCTAAATTTAAAATCGGTTGCGACTTGAATTGTAGGTGTACATGAGCAATTGTAATTACTAACCATCTGATGCCCCGATGATCTGCTCATTTGCCCTTGGAAAATTATACAGTAGTTAGACATTAATTGGCTTTATTGCAACTATTTATTTATTTAATTGGCTTACTAACACTTGTAAACATTTTAAAGACATTTTACAATGAGTATGAAGTGGCATAGTGCTACAATTACTAATAGGTAAGCACCTCATGCGCAATAAACAATAATTATTGTATGCTCATGCTAAATTTATACAAGTAGGTTTTGGAAAAAAATAGAATCAAATAAAGTACCTTTTAAAAAGTATTTTGTATGGTACTGCGGATTTTTGTAGTGAATCAGTATGTATATTGACCAGGGCGCTGCAACTATTGAGCACTTTGCAACTATAAGTGCCATAAAGCTAGGGCTGCCATCCTTGTCCATTGTCCTAGTTTGGAAGACGTCCGGGAGGGGTTTAAATATTTCACAGCAAGCGCTGCCCTTGTTAAACAAGTTTTCATTTAATTTTATTAACTGAGTAACTAATATTGGGTTTGTTTATCTTTTATTTAATATCTAAGACGGTTAAAAAAATAAAGCAAAATTACTCACTTGTCGTCACAAGAACGATTAAACACACTATTTCATGTAACAAAAGAGGCTTAAAATTAAAGGTTTCTTCTATCAAGTATGGAGTAAAATATATTATAATCAAGATTTGTTTGAAATCTTCGGGGTGAAAGCTCTAAAATCCGGGGAACTTACGCTTCCGGTCCTGGGGGGCAGGTTTTAGAGGTGGCAGCCCTACATAAGGCTGCTAAATGTTTCACTCACATATACCTAATTACCTTAATCTTTCTAACATTTTTAAAAACTTTCACCATACATATCAAAAACATTGACATGCTACAATTTACTATTGTTCTTTATAGTGCTTATCTTCTATTCTTTATTTTTTCAGCTATCACAGAGAATGGTAGTAAGAAGAAAACCAATGCAGCGACTGCAAAAGAAGTTAAAAAACAGAACGTGACAGAAGAAAAGGCAGCTAAGAAGAAAAAGAATGAAATGAATAAAATTTATAAGCCTGGAGAGTGTATGAAGGTATTTAAAATATGAGTAAACTTATATAATCATAAAATATGCAGTAGTTGTGGAAGAGATATCACATCAACTGCCTTTAGTAGTCTACTACTGGACATAGGCCTCTCCTTAGAAAGGGGGTTTTATACTACTATACCACGCTGGCCAGGCGGGTTGGTATAGGATTTGTGTCAAGTTTTCCTTCTCTATGCAGTGCTGTTGAGGCCTATGTCCAGCAGTGGACTAGTAATGGCTGTTGATGATGATGGAGTTGTGATTTAAGCGGTCACCTTGCCGCTTCCAACTGCATTGTGATCTGTGTGGGTTTGATCCCCAAATGGGACAATACTTTGTGTGTTATAAACTTTATTCATATTGTATCCACAAATAAAATCTAGTCCCAAACTAAGCAGAGCTTGTACTATGGGTACTAGACAACTGATATAAATACATATATACTTTTATTTTGTAAATACATACATATTATACATAGAAGCACCCAGTCCAAATCAAACATTAAATGTACTTGCACACAAATGTTTGACTTGAGCGGGAATTGAACCCGCGACCTTTGGAATAGCAGTCCGTTACACAAACCACTACGCCATCCGGTCGTCTAATAATAATGATAACATAATGATTGAAACATTTATAGTACATAACTGTGGAAGGTCACCCGACGCTGTGGTCGAACTGGTGGTGCGCGGACGTGAGTCGTGAGGTGACTGCGGCCGGCGCGCGCGTCATCTCCGCCCCGAAGCTCATACACAACTCGCTCGTCATGTGGACCAGGACCATACCCAGGACTCTAGACCAGGAGAATGGACAGGTGAGTTGTAGTTGTTTGACGGGCCTGCTGGTCTATTGGTTAGTGACCCTGACTGTTAAGTCGGAGGTTCGATTTCCACCTAGGGCAAATATTGTGTTGATCATGATCATTGGTTCTGTGTCTGGGTGTAATTTATCTATCCATCCATCAACAGCCGATACTAGTCCACTGCTGGACATAGGCCTCTCCTTAGAAAGGAGGTTTTGGCCTACTATACCACGCTGGCCAGACGGGTTGGTATAGGATTTGTGTCAAGTTTTTCTTCTCTTTTCAGTGCTGTTGTCCTGCTTAGTTTGCTCCCTTAGTCGGCTCTTACGACACCCACGGGATGAATTGGGGTGGTGACAATTTGTATTCTTAATCCGTCACCACACGGACGTTTTTAGAAATATATATGTATGTTTATGATCAAGTTGGTTCCCATAGTACAGGCTCTGCCTAGTATGGGATCAGACTGCCGTGTGTGGAGTTATTACAGCCTTTAGTAGCCATAGTCCACTGCTGGACATAGGCCGCTCCTAGAAAGAAGGTTTTGGGCTACTATACCACACTGGCCGACCGGTTGGTATAGGGTTTGTGTCAAGTTTTCCTTCAGTATGCAGTACTGTTGTCCTGTGTAGTTTGCTGGATTAGTCGGCTCCTGCAACACCCGCGGAATGAATGAGGTGAAGATTCCGTATTCTTAATCAGTCATCACACAGAGATTTTATTGAGAATTATTCGCGAAAGTCTGATCAGGACGTAACAATTGTAGCAATCGCGTTTTCTAGTTTTCCATATTTGACGTCATGATATAAATATTAACCTCTACCTCATCGTCTTTCGTCTGTTCTTATTTAAAAAGCTTTGATTAGGTTACGAGGTTGAAACGTTACGCCATCGCGAACGCCATCTAGCGGAATTGTGCTGAATGACTAAGTAACTGCTGACCCTGTATCGTGCAATAAAGATTTCCCGGACTCGAATGGACTGTTGCCGTGTGCAGGTGAAGCTGTCGCCGGTGACAGAGCCGTGCGGGCGCGCGCTGTACGTGTCGAGCGTGGAGGACGTGGCGGAGCAGGTGAGCGGTCGCACGCTGACCGAGCACGTGGGGCAGATCCGCCAGCTCGTGGACTGCGCGCTCACGCTCGTGCTGTTCGGGGTCAAGGACTTCTTCAAGTAACGTTGCTATGCCTCAATTGTCACTATCGCTTTGTACGCAGGGTCCTGAACCAGTTGACTTTTAATTTCAGGTCTCCTCGGCGAAAGACATTAAACAGCAATCGGACACCGATAACTGAAATTGACTTAGAATTAGCCATTGCCGGTATGTTACAATTCTTTAACTGGATAAAAAAAACTCTAAAAACTATAAATAAATAAAATATGTTCCTCAAAGCCAAATAATTTTCATTTACCCTCAAAAAGTCAGTATTTTGTGTATTTTTTTATAAATTTTAATATCAACCTAACATAAAATTAATTATGTTAAGGCGTATTTTATATAAGATATGTTATTAAAACGAAATATATATAATTCCAGATCTCCTGGTGACTTTACAATGTGACACCGCAATAGTGAACACACCGAATGAACTTGCATTGTTGATTGTTCAGGTAAATTTCTCTATACTTCCTTAGAAGGGAAAGTGGTCCACTAACGAGAGTATTTTGGGGATGAAAACATATTTTTGGACCCTACTGGGATCCTTTATCAAGGACTAAAGCGACTTACCTCGCCGGTGACATTGACGTAGCGGGAAGCGCTGGTAAACATTTGTAACACCGGTGGTGGTTAAACTAAAAATAACTAAAAAATATGTCCAATAATAATACATTTCAGAAAGTGGAAATGTCGTTCTAGGATACTGGCTCATATGTATATTTAACTTACTATCGTCTATTCGCTGTAAGAAAACAGTGACGCATCGATCAAGCCCCGCCCCTTGACCAATCAGGTTCCAAACTTGTGTATGAAACGAAAATTTCTTTGAACCTGATTGGTCAAGGACCTATTTTCATACTATAGTTACAACTACAGTTTTGTTTAATGGAAGAGGGGGCAACCGAGCATAAGGGTCACCTGATTATAAGTGACAATCGCCGCACATGAATGGAAATTTAGGCGTCACAAACGAATTTTTCCTAATATTGTTAACTAGAAGTCTATGAAGTGTGTTATACACGGTGATTTTGAAAGCGTTTTGGAAACGAAATATTTGAATTTGGAATCATCTATAGTACCAATAAAAATGATTAAATCAATTGTAATGTTGTCTAAAAAAAAGTTTCAGTTTTAATATTCATTTTTACTCGATCGACTTGGAAAGTAGTAATGGACTGATCGTTCATTCATTATCTTATATGAATGAAACACGTCCGTGGGCGTTTCGGCGACCGCTGCGCACCGCCGACGCTAACAGCAGCTGACAAAAGTATACCTATAGGCGCGAGCTAGCGAGTACTTACGTAGATAGACTCCAATTTGTCCTTCATACTTTACACGGGCTTAGGACCGTCAGAAATACCTATTTTATTTAAACTTCTTTTCGATTATTAACCACGATTGTTCTTTTCACAACAAATCAATTTATCAACGGACTGTAGGTATAAATATTTCAGGCGTATTTAAAAAATCGGAGCTATCTACAGAATAATTAACTTACATACCTATTTACACTATTTACAGTTCTCTGTATCGAAGGAACTGCTCAAAATGGAGTCCGCTGCATTCAATACACAAACGTCATCGTTTAATGCAATTGTTTTTTAATTTTCTTAATGTGTCTCTATCACTTTTCACTTTATCAAAAGCGTCCACTATCGCAATGCGTAAATTATCACGGCTTTCATATTCCCGTGTATTAACAAGTCTTTTTATTTCCGACCATAAGAAAAAATCCAGGGGCGTTAAGTCCGTTCACTAAGCTCATTGTCCAGGTATGCACGCACTACACTCCGGCGAATAATAATTAAAACGTCCTTGACCTTGCGCATGAGTAGGCGCACGAAATTGTCCGTGGTCGAGAAGACGTTGGGTTGCAGCCAAGATGGTAGGTGTGGAGGGAATTTGAGGGCTTTCAATTCCACGTAGCCGTAGTGCATTTAAATGCTCCGGCTTGGGAATACAAACGCCGAGCCTCTTCCAAGTTGTAGTTGGCAGTACAGCTGTACCATTGCCAAGAAGTATTCCACGTTTGAAAATTCGTACTGTCGACTCATTTTAGCGCTAATCAATGCAGCGTGCCGTCACGATGTTATGGTATTACTGACCGACTGACGATGACAGGTGAGCCCCGCGCATGCGCCTACGGGGCAGACGTCATTGGTTGGACGACTCCGGCGCAACTCGGTAGCTTTGTTTTTATTGGCGAATACGATTTGATGTGACTCGATATTAAAACGCATAGTATTTCTATTCGTAGTATTTACCTACGTGTGATTGAATAGCCTACTACTACTGGTTCTGACTTTTTCTCTGTAAACGATATGAATATCGACTTTGATGATAAAAAAAAATATATTTTATTAAATTAACGTTATATATAGCTTCTGTTACTGATAAATAACTCAAAATTTTCTTTTCCAAAACGCTTTCAAAATCACCGTGTATATGAACAGCTCACGAAGGCAATAGCGGAGGCCCCGCACAAGCTGAGCACCCGCGCGTGGGAAGACCAGGCGCAGTTCTACATGAAAGGGGAGAGCAAGAACTGTATCGCGATGGATAAAGACGGTATTTTTTTTTTATATTTTCAAAAATTGGCATTTACAACTTAATATGAGTGTCCCTATTTTATATTATTTTTATTATATATAACGGTGCTGGAGGCGCGAAATGTTTTTTGAAATGTGTGTTCACCCCTTATCTCATTCGCATCACTCATGAAAGTAAGAAAACTACCAGTCAATTTATTAACTATTTTACACTTTATCACATGCATCAATTTATCTACACAATATGAAACAATAGAACTTATTGGTTACAATAATAAAAAAGTATTTACAATAATAGAATGCCTAGACACTTATCTTATTTGAAGCTTGTCCTTCCTCGTCCAATGCTCGAGCAAAAGTGATCGCATTTCTTTAGCATATACAAAACCAACGAATGTGAAATGTCAATGGCGGTAGGGATAGTTGTATAAACTTTACAAAACAATTAGATGTGACACACCTTATTTTACAACTTAGTAAATGTCTAATTAAATAATGAGAATTATTATAATTACCCATACATACTTGTAATTCAACTGTGTTAAGCGGATGTTTATAGGTTAGAATCATAATCACAATTATTTGAAAACAATTATTAAGACATTGCTTTGCTCACCAACAGTTATTTAATTCTATGTTTTATTATAAGATTTTTGCGGTAGTAAGAATCTTTAAATTGTAATTAACAGTAATACAGTATTCCAGTTAGAAATGACTTAATTAAACAACTTACTAAAGTAATTCTTTTCACAGTGAAATGAACATAGTCTGAGAACCATAATTGATAGCTAATTTTATTATTGACTTTATTATCAACAGTTATGTTTCATTGAAATGCTCACTCGCAAGGAAATGGTTTTGAGCCGACATATATTTATATTGTTTTGAATCCACTTCGCAGGAATTGCTGTTGGTAAACTCTGGCAGCAGATCATAGCAGTCCTGCCACACTCTAGTTTGGAGACGTCGAGAGCTTTGTGTGCCAAGTACAGAACGCCACTTGAATTATTCGAGGTGGGTACAATCAGTTCATACTGTAGGTTGGGGGAGGAAACCAGCAAACTGGGTGTATGAGTGAGTGAGTGGTGTTTTGTGACTTGAGTTTAATCTTGGGCTTTATCATCATCATCAATATCCTTTTATAGTCCACTGCTGGACATAGGCCTCTCCTTAGTAAGGCAGTTTTGGCCTAATACCACACTGTCCAGATGGGTTGATATACGGTTTGTGTAAAGTTTTCCTTCTCTTTGCAGTGCTGTTGTCTTGCGTAATTTGCTTCCTTAGTCTTTTCTTTACGATACCCACGGGATGAATAGGGGTTGTGACACTTCCTATTTTTAATTTATCACCACACGGAACGTTTAAAGGTCTTAATAAATTTCTGATGTAAAACATTTTTTTTCTCGTTTTCCTGCAATCTGTGGGAGTGGTTTGGTAAAATGGGACGTAACTGTGTAACAGGATGCCAGGAATGGCGCCCTATTTGATTTAACCAATGACTGCGTGGAACTAGAGTTGTCCGTCAGATTGTAGGTGAGATGTCAGATTTATAAAACAAAAAATAACTACACACTTCGCACACACAGCCTCCTTGGTTTATAGTGTTTTATCTATGACAGTCGTCTGATCCCAAACTAGACAGAGCCTGTACTATGGTAACTAGACAGCTGATAAACATACTTAAATATTTCTAAATACATACAATATATAAGAAATTACATCCAGACAAAGAACAAATGCTCATTTTTTCTGGGAATTAAACCCACGACCTTAGCAGTAGTAGCAGTCAGGTCAGGGTTACTAACCACTAGACAAGACCAAGAGGCCCGTCAAATATTACCCATCACATCATAAAGGACTACTGTACAACTTCTTATATTTTGTTCTAGGCTTTACAATCGTCAGAGAGCGTGGCCGAGATAGCAGATATAGGGGTGTCGCGTGCAGCAGTCCCTGGATCGAAAGCGAGGCGCGTCGGACCTGAATTTGCTAGAAAACTAAAGATATTATTTACGGCCGAAGATGGAAATGCGATTGTAGACTGATTTAATGTATTTATTAAAGTTTTATAAAAAAAAATCAAGGAAATTGTATATATAATTTAATTGAATTAAAAAAACAAACTTTTTTTTTCACATCCTACAAGAGGACTCCTTTGCTCTTTTAAGTTTAAGATTAAACTTTTATATCTAACTTCTTTAGGGGCGCCAGCTCAGCTTAAATAAAGGCCCTGTCCAGCGAGTTCTCCTACATGAAAAAGATTGAACCAGAGATACAGAGAATGAAACCGATAAAAATAAATGTACAGGAAGAACTTATGTTTGAGTAATTTCCAACCATTGATCAATGACACATTCGTGAAGCTCATAGATTTTCATCAAAAGAAAAACAAAAACAATCATTGGAATTTACTATACACAGTAATAGACATTACTACTTACTGAGCTTTTTTTTCCTATTTGAGAAAATCTGATAGAAAGGCTGGACACACTACTACTGATAAATGGCAATCCTATCATCATCTATCGAGGTGATGGTAAAACACATCACCTCGATAATAAATAACTATGGTTTCATTCAGGTTACACTTCTCTTACAAAATGTTAAGGTTCAATTTGTGGGAGTAATTCTAAATATTAAAAAAAAACAACCACGCTTTCGATCAGCATCACTTCGATGCGATGTATATTAAAAATCAGAATTAAATGCAGTCTTTGTATTGTGCACACTAAACTCCATGCAGTAAGAACCCAGTCTAGTACACAGAGTATATTGAATAATTTGAGGTATATTGTGGTGCGGGTGTGGGCCGCTTAACATTAGTTGGTTTGGTTCCGTTTGGTTTAACACTTTATGTCAAAACTCAAAACTGTCATTGGTGTCAAAACAATAAATCTAAGCTTAACCTTTAATTTATGTAATATTTATAAAATAGCTGTTAAAGTTGAAATATTATTCATTGCATTTTAATTTCATACGCTGCATAACTTAAATATGACTGTGTATTTATCAAGAATTGCCTTTAGAACTCTTCGGAGTGCAACACAAAAATGTTTTTCTGCAAATGCGGTATTAGATTTTGTCGTTCCAAATACTCGATTTTTATCAATGAAAAACGATATTTTCTCTTTTGCACGACAATTAACCATTAGAACTTATGCCAATGATGCTCTTCAATCATCAGTTTCGCACGAAAATGACATAAAATCTTTAAAAAAAAAAGTTGTTCACCAAAAAGCTAGACCGGAAGATTTAAGCTCTAGAGAGGGTCATTATTTGACTATGGCCTACGCTACTGCAAATTCCTATGATTTGAAAGGTATAAAAGAAGCCCTGGTGCAACAAAAGCTGTATGAGCCTGCAATGTGAGAGTTTTACTGTTTTTTTTTCATGTTTATATGTATGATGCAACATTTGATGAACTATTTGATAACCTCTACGTGAATAAAATAGTTTATGAAAAGCTGACAAGTTATAAAAATGAGCTGCCATTTCCTAAAAAATCTGAATAAACTTTAAAATACATAGTTTGATATTTATGAAGTAAATGTTTACTACACTACACTTGTGTTTTATATGAGAGGTAACATGGAGTCTTGCATGTTACCGAAAACGAAATATTATAATATTTTCTTAAATGTTATTAAAGTCCTTGTTAGGGGACATATATGTATAATGCAGCATGCCGGAGTGTTGATATCGACATTTTTTCTTCTAGTGTCACTAAATTTAAAAAACAACTGGGCAACGTTTTCTTCGACCAAGCATAACAAACAAATTTATTTATTTATTTATTTATTTATCTCTTTATTGTACACCATGGAAGTATTATATAAACAGATATTAAATACATTTCGGTATAACAATAGGCGGTCTTATCGCTCACGGCGATCTCTTACAGACAACCTTTATACGGATATTGTCAATAAAATTAGGGTAGCCTGGGATGTACAATTACAACAAATTGAAAAACTAAATAAAAAATACTAAATAATATATAATATAAATACTATACTAAATAATATATATAATAATATATATAAGAAACACAAGGTTACTAATATATACGTTTACAGTATATTATATATTTAAATACATACAACTTATATAAAAACATACAAGCAGAGTTACATAAATACACAAATTCCTCTATGATGCCAAGTAATGATTTGTGACTAGCTTTTTAAATGTTTGCAGTGATTTGGCTTGCCTAATTACTTCCGGTAGATTATTCCACAGTCGAACTGCTTGCACTGAGAACGATTTGTCAGTAAATTGTGTGGTGTGCCTGGGCATTTTTAACTTCAGATTCTCTGACGATCTCAAGGACCTGCAATGTGAATTATGTAAAAACTCAAAGCGTTCTTTGAGATAAGTTGGAGTATGTGGGAGGAACAGAGTACTGTATAGAATAGAAAGAATATGTACATTCCGGCGAAGGCGTATAGGTAACCATTTGAGCTTAATTCGATACTCAGAAATATGATCATATTTGCGCAAGCCGAATATGAATCTGATGCAGACATTTTGGAGACGCTCAAGTTTATTTAATTGGTCTTCGGAGAGATCTAGATAGCTAACATCACCATAGTCCAGGATGGGAAAAAGAAGAGATTGTGCTAGGGAGATTTTTGTATCGGTAGGAAGAAAGTTACGAAGTCTTCGCAGAGATCCCGCTGCAGCAAATAATTTACGACTGACCTCACCAATCTGGGGGGCCCAGGACAAGAACTTATCCATATAGATTCCCAAGTTCTTAACTTTGTCGCTAAACGGAATAACAAAATAACACGGAATAACAAATCACATTTATAATAATACCTATGTCTACTGTCCTATCATCCTACCATGTTCAGAGTTGTCTTCATTGTTCTAGCAGTGAAAACTTTTAATTGGCCTTCACCTATTAGTCTTATATCAATTGTAATTCTAGCTGTAAGTTTTCCTAAAATATAAAAATAAAATAAAATATACACTTAAGAATAATAATTATAAGTTTACATATCACATACGGCCATCTGATTCCGAACTAAGCAGAGTATAGACTCTGCTTAGTTCGGAATCAGATGGCCGTGTGTGATATGTAAACTATCATGTATCACTATCATGTATATCATGCTTCCCTAGCATAGTGGTAGGGAAGCCCTTTTGAAGATTACCTGGAACAAATAGACAGGCAGACAGGTTTGTTTTTGGTTTTTAGGCATTATGTATCGTGCAAATAACGGTGTGAGCATGGAAAAACCTTTTATTCTGACATTACAAACAGACACTTTAATTTTATTTATTTGTATAGATTATTTACAACTTGCAAACTTTGAAAACAAACTAAACCATGTGAATGTAATTTAAGCCATAACCACTAAAAACTTGTGTTAGCAGTATGTTTATACATAATATTAGGCAGTTTGTTTATCTTTCACCCCTTAACCAGTCCACTGATTGTTATAAAATATTGCATACATAATTTTAGGGTTTCAGAAGAGTACATCCATCTATAGTAAATGTATAGTTCTCGACTACATGGATACAGCGGCCACATCGCCACTTACCACTGCGCTGAGTGTTCGATCCCCACGGGACATCACTTTCTTTGATCCACAAATTGTTCTTCTGAGTTACACGCGAGAACAGCAGTGCAAAGAGAAGGAAAACTTTACTCAAACTTTATACCAACCCCTTTTTGGCCAGAATGGTATAATAGGCCAAAACCTTCTTTCTAAGAAGAAGCGTCTGTCCAGCAGTGGACTGTTATAGGCTGTTGATGATCATGATGATGATTTTACTATGAAAACTAAGGACAAAAATCGTATTTATAAGTAATGTTTATTTGTCAATTTGCAGGTTGAAAGTGTCGGGGGATGTAAGAGATGTGGTGGTAGCTTATGCAGTATACAGTGTAGGGTCTGAGCCTAGGGAGATAATAATCTTCAAAGAAGGGGGCATTGTTTTTTGGAATTGCACCGAGTGGGAAGCCAGTAATGTGCTGGATTTTATTAGGCCGTAAGTATTACACTGCTACACATTCCAACTAAAAACGAATAGGCATCACATAAAATGCCTGATATATTTTCATTTTTTATTTAATACTAGCTGGTGCCTGCTACTCGGGGAATTTGAAAAGCGCTGCCTCAGTGAGTTCTATTCCCTGACCAGGCAAAATTTTATAGGGTTTTTCTGACAGAAAAAATAGCCGAAGTTACTCCTTATATAGACAGTTACCTGTTAGTAAAATATTATCAAAATCGGTCCAGCCGTTTTGAAAATTACCCGGAGCAAACAGACAGACAGAAAGATAGACAGAGAAAAAATATTTAAACTGATTTTTAGGCATAGGTATCGTGCAAATAACAGTGTAAGCATGAAGTAAACCTATTACTCTTCATTTTATTTTTTTGTATACATACACCAGTCCCATTCCTCACAGAAACTGTACATCATGTCTTTCGTCTGCTGATAGATAACGTTTAAGACTTACTAGAGATCGCCTGGCCAATTTAATAGACCAATATACCTTAACCGTTTTTGTGTTAACTTTTTTCTATCACAGCTCAAATATATATAGATTAACTAGCTCATGCCCGCGATTTTGACCGCATGGTGGTCGACATCAGACATCGTAGAGGAATGAATGAAGATTATATGTACCATACAAACTTGCACCCCCTTTTAAGGGTACTTTTGAAAAAATAGGTGTCTAATTATAATAGCTTTACCCATCTTACACACTTTCCAAACTAGGCAGAGCTTGTGCTATGGTAACCAGACTGCTGATAAACATACTTATATATTTCCAAATACATATATATATCATAGATTAATTCCACCTAGACATAGAACAAATCATCATGCTCATCACATAATTATTTGTCGTGGGTGGGAATCAAACCCACGACCCCCGGCTTAGCAGTCAGGTCACTAACCACCAGACCAAGACAACCGTCAAATATTTTTATTTTTGTTAGTCAAATATTATTATAATTATACTAAGAGTTTGGGATGGATAAGGTAAAAAAAAGGTTCCCCATAGAAATTTTAACCCTTTTTAAGTGTAGTTTTTAAAAATTAGTTTTTCAATTTTTCATTGCTTTTAATAATGGGTATTTACTGTGAGTTTGAAAGCGCTACTACCAAAGATAACCCTTAGGGCTGGAATTTTCAAAAATCGTTTCTTAGTGCACACCTTCGTCACCTAAGGAACATTTGTGCACAATTTCATGCTTCTATACCCACCGGTTACAGCTGTGCGTTGATCGATCAGTCAGTGAATCAATCTGTCAGTGAATCAATCTGTCAGTTTCTTCTTTTATATATATAGCAGTTTTTGTATTAAAAGTATGTAAAAAAAGGCACTAATTTGTTGTTGTTGAGTTGATTTATGATGAAAAGGGATTTCTATTTGTATAATAAGCAAGTATTTTTAGAAGATACAGATAGTTTAGTATTAATACTTCCAGTTTGGTCAGTTTTTGGATTGGATTATTTCTGCACAAAACAGTCAACATAATAGTTATTTATTGATTGTTGTGAATGTATTTCCAGGTTCGAAGTGGAGAGTTATCCACGGGACGTAGTGGAGAAGGAAAGAGAAGTTATGACATATGTTTACCAAACAAATTCGTAAGTATGTTTTGGTGTAATTTTTTTAAATTAATGATAGTGTTGTTTGCAAATAGTGTTCCAGTTTTTGGGTATTTTGTTTCTATTAAGGTCACGTTTATAAAATTTCTATGCTTGATTAACAAAATATCTTATGTAAATAAATACGAAACCTTATTCAACCTTATTTTATATTACAGTAGAAAATGTCACCTGCAGGAGTCATCGTTCATTCTGGTAAAGGACAGAGACAACTCACTGGAGCGGTATACATTCAGGTGAGGTCGATTTATATTGACCTGAAGTATATTTATTTTGTTTTAAATGCCAAGGATTTAATCATCATCATCCCCTCAGTCATTGGACGTTTATTGTTGGACTTAGGTTTCTTTCACTGTCTTCTAAGAATTCGTTGTTCACTGTCATCCTGGGATCATTATAAGGTCATTTGGCCATCTCTTTAGTGGACGTTTTGTGCTTACTGTTACAATTCTATTTAAAGACAATTCAATAATCAGACCCTTGGTATTTATGTATGTATGTATATATATATATATATATATGTATATGTTTGTAAACGTATAATATATTTTGCTATCCTAATTTATGTCGGTATTTATTTAATTTTTATGCTTTTCTGTGTTGATTCCTACGTACGCATGACTGTGCCCTTACGTTTCTCTGTTGTCCTCTATTCGCTCAAGGTTTGCTGGAAGAAAACTCAGTTTTGGGTTAAGCTCGCCTTTGTACATGACATTTCCTTGTTACTTATATATATGTATGTGTACAATAAAGAATAAATAAATAAATAAATAAGACATAGGTCAAAACACGATCACCATGGCAGATGCTTTAATAGAAATGGGCTGATTCGACTAGATTGATATCACGGCCTCATAGGAAACCGGTGCGGGTGTTTTGTAGGGGTGGGGATATTAAAATGTGAAAATTTTTTAAATTTTTTTATGTTACGTATGTTGGTCAGGGTCAGGCGACTCGTTTGCTTGCTTGCTTGCTCTTTATGTTATGAAAGAAAACGTGTGCGTCTCGGGACGTCTGACGGAAGTGATAACTTAAACTAATCTAAGTCGAACCATTTAATATTGAAATTGCTTAAGTTGAGAAAAGTTTAGGTCATCACTTAAATTTTATTTAAAGCGTCTGTCTGAAATATGGCTAGCGCTGTGGGTTAGAGTGAGAGAGGAGGAGCCTGCCTACCGCTGCCGTATGCGTGAGAGAAAGGCTGTAACGCGTTACGTAACGAAGCGGTTTACTCTCCCATAAGAAGTCGTCACTTAGGTCGGATGACCGTTACGAGGGCAGGTAATACGGTGGGGCGCTAAGGGTCGGGCGTGGTGTTGCAGCCACGCGATGGTGCAGTCGGCGCGGCTGGGCGCGTTCGAGGCGCGGCTGGAGGCGCTCGCCGCGTCCGTCAGCGCGCACACCGCCGCCATGCAGCGCACCGGACAAGCGCACCTAGACAAGAAAGCGGTGAGCGCACACACACACGCACACACACACACACTCTCATCGGCCTGTTGGTCTAATGGTAATGACCCTGACCGCTAAGCCGAAGGTCGTGGATTCGATTCTTACTCACGACAAATAATTGTATGATGAGCGAGGTCATATGTTCTGTGTCTGGGTATACTTTATCTATGATGTGTATGTTTTTAAAAATATATAAGTATTTTTATGACTGCCTAGTTTGGGATCGAGAGGCCCCGTGTGAGATGTGTAAAAAATATTATTATGGCTTTTGTATTAGAAATAAACATAATGTGTGTGGCGTGTCAATATATATATATGAAAATTTAATATATGTTGAAAACAAGAATAACTTTTTGAAAAGAATTGATGTACATTCTATAAATACCAGAAATAGACATAAACTTGTTGTACCCGCCTCTAGGCTCCAAAAGATAAACAGGTCTTTTCGAGGTCAATGTGTCCAATTTTATAATAAAATCCCAAATATTATTCAAGACTTAAGTATTAACAAATTTAAATCCGCAATAAAACGTAAATTATGTCAGAAATCCATTCAATTGTGGATTACATACAAGAAAAAAATTGGGATTAATTTAGCACAGACTATTTCTTAGTGGAAATGTGATGTGGGCTAGGGTGTTTTTTGTTATGCCATGAGTTTGTTTGCCCTTTCTTCTCATAAGGCTCAACTCCTTGGAAACGGGTAGTTGTGGATCGGCACAGGCATATCATAGATTTTGTATTAGTATAATTTTTATTAAATTTATTTATTTATTTTTTGACGACTGGATGGCGTAGTGGTTTGTGTAACGGACTGCTATTCCAAAGGTCTCGGGTTCGATTCCCGCTCAAGTCAAACATTTGTGTGCATGAACATTTGATGTTTGATTTGGTCTGGGTGTTTCTATGTATATTATGTATGTATTTACAAAAAAAAAGTATATATGTATTTATATCAGTTGTCTAGTACCCATAGTACAAGCTCTGCTTAGTTTGGGACTAGATGGCGTTGTGTGTATGTGGTAGAATATATTATTATTATTTTTTTTATTATTATTTAACAACACGGAGATTGTTTGCTATTGTGTGTGTGATGATCTACGACTTTAGAGTGTACGTAAAAGACGATTACAAACGATTAATTTTATTTTTTTATGAAATAAAGATATTTTGAGTTTAAGTTTGACTTATCTATCGTTAGTCAAAAACAATACCAGAACAGAACAATTTAAAAAAATCGTGTGTGTCATTAAATTTAGAAAAAAATTCAATTCTATTTTACCTATTAAAAAAATAATTATGTTTTTTGTATTAATTTACTAATATGACAAGTTAGCCCAGTTTTATAGTATAGTAGCAAACATTTTAATTTTATTAATAGTTTGTCAGTAATTATTCGTTTTTCTGAAATTTGCCAACAATAAGGCAAAAATTTGATAAACTATTAAAGTTTGAGTCGAATATTTATAAACGAACGAGTAAAGTATTTTATATATTATTTTAAAATCTAAAACCTTGAAATAAATAACTTTCGTCATTATCTTCAAATCTAATGTTACCTGCGGCCTCCAATCGCGGTCACATCACATCAACAGTCTTTAATAGTCCACTGCTGGACATAAGCCTCTCCTTAGAAAGGAGGTTTTGGCCTTGGAATAATCGTGGTACACTTTAGAATTACATTAGACTTGCATAAAGAGAATAAATCCTTTTTCTTAACCTCAGATATATATCTGCAAATCTTTCCGCCAAAAGACTCTTTACACAAGTAGCAATAGACGGAATTTGAAACAACGTCATACCTGGACCCTACCGTATACGTATGCCACGGTAGGGTCTGTGCTCCTTTTACAGAGAAATAAGGAATCCTTTCCGCATAGGTTCTGGAGCACAGCTCGCATGTCACAGCAGCAAATCATTTTGTCCTTATTCGTTCTGAAAGTTTCGTAGCGTGATGTTTAATTGCCTATGTTACCTCTTTTCTAAAAAAATTGAGCCCCTTTTCAAATATGACCATAAATTTCGGAGATTAGCGCGTTCAACCAAAAAACCAGCTATTTTATAATGTTTGTTTCTCAGGTAGTCCGAAAACTTGGTGAAATATTCGCCCTCCGACATCGTCTGAATATAGAGTCTGATCTACTTGACACTCCTGACTTCTACTGGGAAGAAGAGCAGCTGGAGCGGCTGTACTCCAGCACTGTAGCGTACTTCACCATACCCAGGCGGACCAGGGTGAGATTATATATCATAGCATATTGACTTCGGTGCATACGACTCGTTTATTCAACTGACACATATAGCGGAAGTAACCTTGGATCCCTGGCAATGCCAGGATTACGAAATCATTCTGGTCAAGAACATGGACGACCAGGGTTTGACCTTAAATAAAATTCACGAGTCGTCACTCACTTTCTGAAAGTGAGCTGTGACACATCCTGCCCATCACTATTCTGGCCAGAGAGTCTGAATAAGAAGTTGTGAGTCAAGGTAGGTGATATGTCATTTATTACTCCCCCCCCCCCCCTCCTGTGCAGGTGCTGAACGAGCGGCTGTCGCACTGCGTGGAGCTGCTGGAGCTGCTGTCGTCGTGGGCGGCGGACCGGCACCACGTGCGGCTGGAGTGGATGGTCATCGCGCTCATCCTCGCCGAGGTCTGCTTCGAGCTGCTGCATCTGTTCGAGCGGTGGGTTGCCAACGACCAACAGTTGCCCAACACCAACATGTCTAGCTAACGCTCTTGTGTTTAGTTTCTTAGTTTAGTATTTTAGTTTACTTACCTCGATACCCGCTCACCGTCATCCTCCGAGTCCTTTCCCGAACTAGGTTGGGGGTCGGCTTTTCAGTTTACTGCGACACGGCTGAACTTAGATTTTTTACGTGGAGCGACCGCCATCAGACCTTCACAACCCAAGCACTAGGCGATATCAAGTTCTTTTTAGGGTTTTTTAGGGTTCCAACCACCCGTAACGATTGCCACAGATATTCTCAACGTGCTCCCCGAGGCACTTTCAATAGTAATTAATAAAAATGAACCCCGCTGGCAATTGCCAAAAACTGCCAAAGTAGATGTTAGATTTATACAAGCCCGGTAACTAACCGTTATTTCTTTTAACCGACTTGGCCCGAAGGAGGATTATGTTTTCGAGTGTATGTATGTATTCGCCACGCTCTGTAGCCTAAACGACTTCATGGTGTCGTTAAATTCTGTAATGTTTGCGGGTTAATAACGAATACACGTTTCGAACATTCAAGTATTTAGTTCCGACTACACATACAATAAGATTTGCCCGATACCCACGTTTATACATATATATATATATATATACACAATTACCCTACATTACAGATTCGTCTTAATTTTGAATGACACTGGGTATACGAAAATTTAAAAGAATGTAAATTTTAAATACCTATACAATTTCACACAGTCAGTTTTGTTTTTTAAATGATTATCTTTACAATAAAGTGTCTACGTTCTATTTACTTCTAGTTCTTATACCTGAAAGTAAAGTTAAAAGACCTGACCTGTTTATGTGTGGAAACCTCCACGTCGTTACACCACCAGGGCTTGGGGCAGGGCGGTGTGTCAGAATTGAACCTTCTAAAACCACACGGTTTGCCTCCTCTTCCTCCTCCTCCTCCTCCTCCGCGCCTATAATAGGAGATAGGAGGGATCCGGGAACAGCTAATATTAGGACATCAGATAGAAAAATAAAACCTGACCTGTTCGAGCCATACCTGCCTTCCTTACCTTCCTTGATCACTCTATCCATTGGTGAAAACCGTATTAGAATCCCTTCAGTAGTTAAAGAGTTTATTGTGAACAGACAAACAGACGCGAAGGGGGACTTTGTTTTATAATCTGTAGTGATAGTCATGTATTTATTTGTACTTAGCAATGTAAGTTGAAATTATGTAAATATTATGTAAACCTCCTATTTAAGGAGAGGCCTATGTCCAGCAGTGGGCTACCAAAGGCTGTTGATGATATGTACAGTGTTGTTAAGCGTATTTTGTTATATTTTATTAAAATATGTGTTTGTAATCTCTAGGTTGTATTATTTATATACATTAGTTTTACCGACTTTAAAAAAGATGTATATTACATGCTATGTAGGGGACACTATTTTATCTTCTTGACGGCCGGATGGCGTAGTGGTTTGTGTAACAGACTGCTACGGGTTCGATTCCCGCTCAATTCAAACATTTGTGTGCATGAACATTAAATGTTTGATTTGGTCTGGGTGTTTCTATGTATAATATGTATGTATTTACAAAAAAAATAAAAAATGATATGTATTTATATGAGTTGTTTAGTATTTATAGTACAAAGCCTGCTTAGTTTTTTTTTCTTTTCTTTTTTTTTTTCAAAAAGACAAGTCCCGCATTAGGAATATATCCTGTGTCGCGGGGGACTTTACAAACATACATGAAACGGACACACAGAACACCCAGACTCAGAACAATTTGTGGATCACACAAAGTATCGTACCATGTGGGGTTTGAACCCACAACACTCGGCGTAGTAGGAAACGGCGTGGCGACCGCTTAAACCACTACGCCATCCGTGCAGTTTGGGACATGGACTATATACTGCTGACGAAGGTAACATGCAACATTTGACCCATAGCTGCATTGCGGCGTTTATACGATCAGGCGCCTGAACAGATAACATTCACCAGGGAAATTGACACATTCAAGAAAATTAAACCGTCCGGGGACCTTTGGCAGATGTGAAACATCGAAATTACTCTGTAGAAATAATGAGTATAAAAGGATAGCTTATGAAAGGAAAATGGCCACGCGTCGCCACACTGCATTACACGTTATCTACTACTATCACACAGCGTGGCGACGCAAGCCGTGGCGACGCGTCGCCGCGCTAACATCCACGCCGGTCTGACGTTTGCCCCGGCTGAACTAACGTCAGAATTTAAAGGGAGAATGAGACGTTATTAATGCTAAATGGCACAGGCATATAATAGATTTTGTAAAAGTTGAATTTTTATTAAATTTATTTGCTTACTATTTGACCAGAGTTTGTTGTTATTGTGTGTGTTGATATATGACTTTAGAGTCTACATAAAAGACGATTTCAAACAATTTTAATATTTGTATGAAATAAAGAGAGTTTGAGTTTCAGTTTTGAGTTTGAGTTGCTCTGAGTCTGGGTGTTCTTTGTGTCCGTTTCATGAATGTTTGTAAAGTCTCCCGTGACACGGGATATATTCCTAATGCGGGAGTTGTCTTTTCAAATAATAATAATAACCAAGGCCTCACAGAAAACTTGTGTAAGAGAATTCCACCCCTAAATCTATAGGGACTCCAGGGGTCTGTGAGCGATGGTAGCCACTTACCACCAGGCAACCCGTCATCTCGTTTGATGCTGTAAAAAATATATTAGCTACCGCCGTTTCATGCTTACAGCTGTGCAAGCAATGAATGCTGTATTTTATAAGTGTTTACGTAAAGTCTAATCTCCTTTTTGAAATATAACTAGGAAATGGAAGTCGACATCAGAACGACGTGGTCCTCGCGCTCGCCACTTTTCGTCGGATATCGAGGAGGGGAACATCACTAACTAGGACAGAACTGGCTACTTCCATGATACCTGATAACACTGATGCTTAATGTATAAATGACGCTTCTTGATGCTAATAAATAAAAAATAAAAAGACTTGTTTTTTTGCGACTTTAAAAAGAAGGAAGTTTTCAAATCGACTACATTTGTGTGTTATAATAAAAATAATAACCTAACACACCCCACACACGGCCGTCTGATCCCAAAATAGGCAGAGCCTGTGCTATGTTAACCAGACAGCTGATAAACATACTTATATATTTCTAAAAACATAAATAAAAACAAATGATCATGTTCATCACTATAATAATAATTAATTTGCCATAATATTTTTTATTCAAGGTGAACATATTTCTAGGTATCATAACCATTAAAACTTGTCCTGTGTGGGAATCGAACCCACGACCATTGGTTTGGCAGTCAGGATCACTCACTACTAGACCAACACGCTCGTATATTACACGACATCTACGGCATTCGTAATTTCATTTATCTACGTGTAAGGGTTTTGTGGGGTATGCGTACCAACGTCGTCCCAAGTCTGGGTATTTTTAACCAATTTCAAAATAGGAAGACTGTACTGAATTTGGCTGTATTTTTGTTTTTTAATGTTGGTGTCCTTAGAATTTCGTCATTTATACACTGACTAGCTGACCCGCGCAACTTCGTCTGCGTCTCTCAATAGTAATAAATTTTATCCGCTTTTGAAACATTCTTCATTGGTGCTCCGTTCCTATTGGTCTTAGCGTGATGATATATAGCCTATAGCCTTCCTCGATAAATGGGCTATCTAACACTGAAAGAATTTCAATCGACTTCAAATCGGACCAGTAGTTCCTGAGATTAGCGCGTTCAAACAAACAAACTCTTCAGCTTTATAATATTAGTATAGATGTGGTAAATTCTTTTTTTTGTATTGAAAGGGCATACTTTACCGTTTAGTTACATTTAAATTTGAAAAAAAACTTTTACCCCTAAGAATAAAAATTAAAGAATTAAGACTACAGTTAATTACAATTCCTCATTACCCCACACCATGATAAGTATTAATTGCACATGGTAATATTTTTTTAAGATGTTATTGCATTCTTTGTTTTAATATCTACAAAGTCCTCCGCGACAAAAACCATTTCATGCGCAGCGCAAGGTTTGAAATCCAGCAAAGCGGAAGTCAGCTGTTTGCAGATTGACTAACTGACTGACGGTCTGCTCAAATCACCAACATTTCTAATTAAAGTGCTCTTTATTATGAGAATACTAACAATTCCCTCGAACACAGACGACTTGGCATTGTCCAGTGCACAATACATAATGCATATCAATACTCGATGAAAACACGAACCGATACAAAACAACAAAAGCCTACATGTCGCTGACATCGGCACCGCGCGGTCGTGACGTAGACGCGTGCCGGAAACGTCACGGACGACGCCGGTCTATAAAACGCTTATTTCATTTAGTACCAGGTCTTAAAGAGAGCGATTTAATGATTTTTAAGTGAAAACTTTAGCCGCGTTGAGCGATTTTTAGTAGTGGAAACTTACAGGGTCGCGTCACCAATGATCTCGACATGCTCGTGACGTATTGCTCCAGACTAGCTACACGTAGTTCCATTGTAATAATAATTGTTATCTCGAATTTGTTCTTTGTCAGCTTTTGCTGGTAGTATTTTAGTGACATTTAGGAACTCAGTCAAGTAAATGCCACGGTTTCTTGGGAGAAGTAATTTAGGTCTATTCGTCCATTGCATTGTGTGGTTTTTCGTCTATTTGCAGACACTTCCATGATTGTGCAAGTGTTTAATATTGCATTATTATTATTGTTTTGAGTTTTCACTTCTGTCGGCAGTCCATATGACTACCTCGGGGGGGCTGACGAGCAGATAGGTCACCTGATGGAAAGTGATTACCGCCGCCCGTGCACGCCTGTAACTCAGGAGTCACAAATGCGTTGTCAGTCTTTTAGGAAGGAGTACGCTCTTATCTTGAAGGTTTGAAGACCGTATCGGTCCGGAAATACCGCAGACGATAACTTGTTCCACAGATTAGTTGTGCGAGGCAAAAAGTATCTTGGAAAACGCACAGTGGTAGAGCGCTAACTATCCAGGTGATGGGATAAAAAAAACTGCCGTGTGGATCGATGGCGAAGAGTTGCGGGTGGTACTAGTCCGAACAATTCCTCGGAGCACTCTCCATGATATATACGATAGAGCATGCAGAGTGAAGGTACATCTCTACGTAACGCCAAGGGATCGAGCCGATAGGAGATCTTTGGGCTATCGACGATTCGAGTCGTTCTTCGTCGTCGGAGGAGCTGGTACTGTAATGCCCCTGCATAGAGATGAGAGCAGTATTTTAGAGCTGACGACGGTGGACCGCTGCGGACCGGTGTGGACTAGCGTTTTTATTTATTTTTTCATTTTTTATGTTTTACTTCACTTTCTTTTGTTATTCCATGTTTTTTCTTTATCTTGTCTTCGCTTCATTGCCTTTCTACCTTTTAATCCTTAATAACGCACATACTGGTACACGTCAAAAAAATGTTGTGGTATATTTAATTATAACAATATCTATTAATTAAAAAAGAGTGGCCGTGAGTTTTTTCCCCCTTTCTTCTTATAAGGCTCAACCCCTTGGAGACGGGCGGCGTATATATTTAGTTTGCTTACTATAACCCGGCAATCTCGTGCGCGACCGTCCCGGAGCCGACAGACAGTGGCGGGGGCGTGGTAGCGCGTCATTCTAGCACACCGCTACACACGAAGAGAAGTGTTTCCCTTCCCTGCTACACCACCCGCTACCCGCTGACATCTTGAGTACCTCGTCCCCGCCACCGTCTGTCACCCCGCAGGACGGTCGCGCATGACGTTGATAATATAGTCCATATTTGACAAAACAGAGATTGTTGCTATTGTGTGTGTTGATCTATATAGTCTAGATAAGAGACGATGTCAAACAATTTTTTTAAATAAAATTAAGTTGTTTTGAATTTTAACCTATTTTAACCGACTGCGCTAAAAATGGGGTTTGTTTTTCGAGTGTAATTTAGTTTAAACGTCTTGATGGATTTTGGCTTGGGAGGTGTCGTTAGATTCTGAATTGTGAGGGTGACAGTGGGTATATGAAAATTACATAAATTAAAATCTCCAGTTTGTAAATTTAAAGTAATTAAGTATAAGTATTTTTTCTTTAAAAAATAATTTGTTATACTTTTCTTATTATATTAAAAAAAATCCGCTAATAAACTTCCAGTTAAACGTAGCCTAAATTTTGATGGTTTACATGCTATTACCTTTTGTCACGCGTAGGGTAGGCAGAAATGTAACGTGACCTATTTCGTGTTATACGTAGTATGAATGCTAATCAGTTTTGTTGAATAATTACACCAGGTAGTTAATTATTTCATAAAGTATTGTTGTATTATTATTTCAGAAAAAGAATAAAGTATACAAAATAGAAAAGAAAGTATAGGTAGTAAGAAAATGTTGATAGTTATTTAATTCTAAGTACATAATATTAATTAATGATTGTTGTTTGTTAGTATTTTTGTTACTTTTTCACTCTGTAACAGTATATTGTAGAAATAATCTTATAGAGAAGTAAAGCGAAATAAATGTTGAGTTCTGACTTAAATAGATATCCCAGACTGCAAGGATGGCGTAGTGGTTTAAACGGTCACCTCGCCGCTTCCTACAGCACTGGGTATTGTGGGTTCGATCCCCACATGGGACAACACTTTGTGTGAACCACAAATTGTTATTCTCACTCTGGGTGACCTTTGTGTGGCACAGGATTTATTCCTAGTGCGGGAGATGTCTTTTTTTTTTAGTAAATAAAAGATACCTGTGATAAGTTTCCGTTGTTCTAGTGGTTAGTGATCTTGACTGCTAACCCAGAGGTCTTAGCTTCAATTCCCACCCAGGACAAAATATTGTGTGTTGAGCACGATCATTTGTAAAATGGTTGTGTAATTTTCTAAAATAAGTATGTATTTCACAGCACACATGTCATAACAGCCTTTAGTAGTCCTGTGCTGGACATAGGCCTTTCCTCAGAAAGGAGGTTTTGGCCTACTATGCCACGCAGGCCAGACGAGTTAGATTTTTATTTTAAGACAACTCCCGCACTAGGAATAAATTCTGTGTCGCGGGGGACTTTACAAACATACATGAAACGGACACAAAGAACACCCAGACTCAGAACAACAATTTGTGAATCACACAGTGTCGTCCCATGTGCACTCAGCGTAGTAATAAGCGGAGTGGAGACCGCTTAAACCACTACGCTATCCCTGGCGTCTAGTTAGTATAGGGTTTGTTTCAGTTTTCCTTCTTATGGCAATGCTGTTGTCCAATAATATAGTAAAAAGTAGCACAGTGTAATAGTTTTCATATAAACTTAGTATTTTTTATTATTTAATAAGTATGTTTATCAGCCAGACCATACCACAGATCTACAGCCGTGTGTGAGATGTGTAAGGCTATGATTATCATTATTTGGCCCTTGGAACAGCTGTTAATCAGACATGCGGGTACTTCTCACCTTATGCCCGCAAATGCGGTGGGTCCAACCACCTAACCACCGATTCCTTAGATCGTTTCTTAACCCCGTCTTATAATTCCTAACCGTCTTTAGTCATTTTATGACCTCCACTGGCCTCTATTGGTCCTTTACTTGCCATCGGTTCTCATCGGCTACTTAAGAAAATAGAAACATTTTTGCCCCTAATACCCTCACATAATTTATATCGTGATAAATATGCCATTTTTATGGCACATTACGCTCATGATTTATGAAACCATTAAAGTTTTCTCAGGAGTTTTCCTTAAGTATGTTTGTTTCTATATTTTTTTGTAATGCGAGCTGTAGACTAGTAGAAAATTCTCTCTTAAATCGGCTATGTTCAATCTCGACTTTTTAACTAAATAAAATATAATCAACTTAAATGAAAACTCCTAAAAAGACCGTACACAACCTTAAATTATATCATCCAAGTAAACAATAA